AACAATTTTGGTAATTTTAAGATTATTAACGTACCCGAAATGAAAGTATAGCGTACAACACTGGACCTACCAAGTGATAAAAAATCTATCAATTCCGTTGGTACCTTTCAACAACATTCCGATTACTACAATCGGCTGCAGACATTCAATTTGAATAGTATGTCTCGTAAGTGATCATTTATATGTGTCGAATAGGTTGAAACTGATTGACTTTGTCCATGTTACGTACATTTTATGTGTTCAATTGTAGATTAAGAAACATTACATGTAATTTTTGGCAATAAATTGTTATTGCCGAAATTCTTTTTCGCTCCGTATCTTCGAAACAAAGCGCCCTATCAAAAATCATCAAAGGACAAAATATCCTTAGAATAATAGTCCAAGGAATAATTCTAAAAATTTTTGCCGCATGTTTAATAAATACCGTGTATATAGTTGACCCTTTTAACAGGTGGGCATATCGATACTTTTAGATGTTAGTTTTCATATTTTTCAACTGAATTGTACATTAAAGAATGTTATTATGTAAGTATGACTTTTAATAATAGTCAAATAAGAGTTTGAAGAACTTTCTTGGTGATTCTCCTCGGCCTGCTGTGAATTTAGGTTTTTCAATTTTTTTTCACTTTTTGATATTGTTTTGATTTATCTTTATCATACTTTCTTTGGAAATTAGATACATTTCCGTTAGACATAAAGTGATTAAAGCCTGAAGGTATTTTCTGTATGAGGTCTATTTAAAGAAATCGAGAAAATAGTGATCCCGAATTTTAATTTCTCCTGTGTAAAAGCACCACTCGGTAAAATCATGAAAGGAAAATGGAAATACACTATTCTCGAGATTATTTTACTGAAAAATTATTTTATCCCAACCAATCGAGTTTGTGATATTTGATGTTGAATGAACATATTGTCCGACATAAATCCCACCATAATTTCCGCAACACCCACTATAAACACAAATTATTATAATATTTTTTAAACATTTTTCAAGTTAATCTGTCTAGTTCAGATATACAGTGCGTTCTATTTAAAAATCACAATTTGGTAATTATATTTGTTACACAGCTTTCATTACTGTCTACAACTTCTATCCGAAACATTTTTTCTACCTTAAATAGGGAAAACGCTATCGTCAATCCATACAGTGTTGATATACTACACCCTGTACAATAATATTCATATAAATTACGCAAATTCTAAAAGCAACAAACGATTGCAAAATTTCGAAACTGAAACATTATTTCCCTGTGCGCTCGTATATATGTAAATTGAATATTGAATTCAATTTAGTGTAGCACCCAAACAATGAGCTTTGTCACATACTCCGAACTGTTTACTCGAAGCATTTCCATTCAGGCTGGAAACTGTAAACTCGGTCTGATATTGACAAAGGCTCGTCTGAAAACGGGGAATNATATATATCCATTTTACAATTTTTTATTTAACTTGCAATGTATACATATTAGTCAGAGATAAATCTTGCAACTGAATTTTAAAGTAGTTATCCGCACTTTGAAATTAAAAAAATTAAAATAGCGGAAAACAAGAGTGCGATCATTTCCGTCATACCAATTTCATTAGGCAAAGGTTAGGGGTAGTTTCGTGATGTTATAGGAATTTACAACGGAATAATGAAATTAAATGAAATAAACAGACAAAGCAATATGTTCAGCGATAACTAGAAAATGAAAAATAAATTAGTTGCAAAAATAAATATATAATATAAACGTTTGTCGCGAGATTTACCTGTGTAGGTAAGAATGCGATATCTAACTTGACCTGGACATAAGGGATTCAAAGAACAATATGTTTTTATGAAATAAGTGAATGTCGCGACATGCTTTTATGTCATGTAAACGGTGTAACTTGATAAATTTTACTTCTTTCATTAATTATATTGTGTAGGAATCCTGTGAATGATATTTGTTTCGGTCCCGTATGAATGTTTGGAATACAAACGGAATAGAGAAAAGTGTTTTTTGTATAGTTGATTTTTGAAATTGATTACTTTCTTCATTTCTTTGGAATATTTCCACAATTTTTGTATCAAGACGTAGAAAGCCAAAAACTTTCCCAAAAATTAATCTATCAATTTAAATAAATCGATGGGTTTGGTTTTTTAGAGCATGTAAATGAAAGCTTGTTTTTGAAAACAAGGTCATTTTTTAAATCCATGAGGGAACTATTCATATTTTTTTCAAAGGAATTTAGCCTTTCAAGAAAAACTTCGATATCAAGATTAGTTGTACTTTCTGTTTGTTTTGTTGGGATATTATTCCTGATCTCTTGAAGTCCCTTCTGGAATTGTTTAAGCTTATCAACACGGCAGTTGAGTTCTTTTATAGTAATGGAACCTCCAGGCATTTCGAGAAGTTATAACACAGTTACTAAACGATTATAAATGACAGTTCTGTATATATGGATGAGGAACAATTCAACCCAGCACTGACAAACTAATAAATTTGTTAAATGTATCGGAGCGAACACAAAACGTCTACTCAGTACGGCGGACCATCACATTCATTCCCCCTTTCCTCCAGAACCATTTCATGCTTGATTTTTTAATAATGAAAGGGACCGATAGTTTAATTGAAAGTTACTTCCATGCTCTAAATATGTCGTTGTTTTTGTTTTGCATTTTTATGGATATGTTTTCAAGAAATAAGGATGGACCTTGTTGATAATCAAACTGTATTATTCTGCTTTGTACTTCGTTCCTCTACATGTCGTTCCTCTACATGACTCTATTTTTATTTCTCAGTATCCACATCTTTCGTCGGTTGAACGAAAAACGTTAGAAATATTTAAATGGCATTTAGGTTCAATACGTCGGTAAGATTATTCCCTTAGAAATTGTGTACTAAAAATGGTTTACTCATCACGAGGCAGAGTCAGTTGGCTTAATAGATTTTTTTATCGGTAGCAAAAAAATGTAGCCTCGGCTAGTAATGAGACGTGAAATAGCATTTTGATTTTGGGAGAGGTTAAGATGGAGCCTAATATATTTGTGAGAACATGATAAAAATAATTCTTGACCTTAATCAATCACCTATCGCGTACTACTCCATGAATATTTAAGCTAAATGTTGGAGCGACACAAATTCTCATTTTTCTCGAGAATCACATATGCAGCAAACTCAAAAAAATCAAAGTATGAGCCGGTATCTTGTATCATATTGTTGGGCCTTTTTGTCGACGGTGATGTAAATGGTTGAAATCATTCATAACGTTTGTACGATGAAATCATCTTCAGGATAACTGAAGTACTAGGAAAAGGTGACCACCTCTCACAGAGAACGAATTGATGTTTCATCAGGAAAGGACACTTCCACACAATGTTGCTCTAGTTCGCCAATTCTTAAACGAAGAGTTTCTTATATAGGCATCGATTTGGCAGGAGAGGTATCATAGAGTGGCCTCCCAGATTGTCCTGTCTTTCAGATTCTCCCTGAATTTATGTTTCCTAATTAACTTATCTACTATATTTAAAGGATACCCGTTGTTTTTAGCCATGTCCCTGATAACATGTTTTCCAATATAATATCTTTTTCACATCAAGGGGGCGTAACAAGCCTATAGACAAGAAAGTTTAGTCAAGCCATTTTGTTTTGTGGACAATGTCGTGATCTATCAGGAATATATCTGAAAGTACAGCTATTCTTCTATAAATGTCATATTCTAGACCCTGCTTACTTCTGATCACCAAGACATCTATGAATGGTAACTCCCCATTATTTTCAATTCCATATGTAAACTTAATATTCGATGATCTGTTCGTAAGAGTTCAAACAAAGTCCTCTACCCTAGATTCACTTGTCTCAAAAATCGCAAATATATCATCTGCATATCGGATCCAAGTTCGTGGAAAGTATTCTAACTGCTCTTTTGCTTTCAATCCAAATCTACTCATGAACAGATTAGCTACAAATGGGGCAGTAGGTTTTCCATTGCCGTGCCTTTGTGCTGTCAGTAGAAACAGTTGTGGAACTGAAAGCATTTCTGTTCCTTGTAGATGTTTTTTAGTTGTATGTAATCTTTGATTACTTTTCTACTGAGATCATTGACCCTCGGAAGATTTTCAAATATTCACTAGTTTTTGGAAACAATGAGGATACATCAAATAATTATGAAATCTCTCCATCTCGCAACCTTACATCGCAAATTCTATTTATGAATTCATGCGAATCAACAAAACCAAATTGTGAGATTGAGAGAGTTTCAAACTTTTTGGTTAGCCATTAGCAATATTATAAATAGGAAAACTTATGGCGGAGAAAATTGGTCGCACCGAATTGCCAGATTTTTTTGGTAGACCGCATATTTTAGGAACTGTAGGATTAGACACATCTGCAGACTTCTTTTCAAAGTCGGTGCGATCAAATTTTGACACTTCCTGAGTGTGTTTTTCACTTCCAAAACCATCTCCGGCAACTGGTTCCTCGGTTCCCGTTCTCGATTGAATTATCAATTCTGTCATAGTTATCTAAGTAGTCCAATATCACAACCTAATTGCCTTCGTCTGATTTCAGATATCTGCTCCTTCAATCAATCGACAATCTTTCATTTTGCCTAAAAGTGAAAGTGTACCCTGTTAAATATAAATAATTGAGATCAGTATTAGAGTTAGGAATTATGGTACTTCAACTCCTGAAAACGCTAACTTAGTTGATGGAACGCGCGTCGATAAGAGTGTTGCAGTACTGGTGTTTTTGAACGGTGTTTGTTTCGAACATTCAATACATTTCAAATGAGTATTGTAATATATACACGCACATACTTTCATATTCTGTCGCCATTTTAAATAAAGACATTTTTCTGAAGTTCTACTTGTCAAGCCCTTTCATTCCATTTCTAATATGTAATACGCCATTTTGTGATGGCGGCCATCTCAAATTTAGAATTATTCCATGATTACAATAACCAACTCATTTTGTCACTTCATTATTTTCACTACAGTAATGCCATAAAATATATTGAATGTTTTTTATGCGTTCCAGAACCCACCGTCACCCAATCGGCCTCACTGTGTTGACAGAGCAATCGACGAGGAGGGGAGGATCGCGCGACTCGCCACCTCCCCCTCCAGCACCGCGCGTTACGTCGAAATCGTCCAGGAACGGCGTTTCCCTACAAGATTCCAAGCATAGTCATCAACAATGGAAAAGATACACGGACTCTCCGGGAGTAGGCTCTCCCCCGCCACCTCCACCAGCTCCCACGAGTCCCAATTCGGGAAGAAGGGAAAGGAGGGCTAGCCCCCACGGAAGTGGGGGCAGCAAGGAAAAGAACAGTAAAGGAGCGAGAGGTGTTCCGCAAAGCTTTGGTTACTTCAAGAGGAACGGGAACGGCCTGAATGGCAATGGTAATGGAACTAGCAATGGGCAGAACGTGTCAGGTAATTAAATCGGCTCATATTCAGAAATCTGCTTGATTAAATATAGAAAAAAAAGTTTGAATACACTAGGGGCAACAAATCTTTATACATGAGTCATCAATAAAATATGCAATCAAAAACTTACTGTCATATATCGCCATTTTCTTCTACTAGTGAAAGTTTGCGGTTCATTGAAGAAAGCGGCACGAATTATTCTGCAATTGATGACGTATCAGTATTGTTTGACAGTATAACGTTTTTATTGTAAGGTTTGGGATATTATATACTACATAAATATTTAATTTCACAATTGATAAAGTTCAAATTTTAACCTCAAATTGTGAATAGCTAGCTCTCTCCGATATTTCTTATAAGGAAGATGGAATAAGGAATATAAAATATAATGTATTCACATTAAATTGAATTGAATAGGATTAGTTTTTAGTGAATTTCAAAAATTGTTCAACAAAAATTTATGTTGCTTGGAGCAGTACCAAGTTGTTTCGTTTTCATTACTTTATCGACTTGATTCGAATTATACATCCGAAATGATGGCGCTTGTGTAAAGATACATTGACCATAAGATTGATTTGAATTGGAGTAAAATGAGTTTTTCAAAATAGTTGGATTCATTTGTTGATCTATTTTTTCCTTCAATAAGTGATTTTTGGAATATTTATATAGTTCTTAACTCCCTTTAACAAATTATTTGGTTACAATCAGCAAACCTAAATCATAATATACCTAGCTAGATATTCTATTTTTCATTAAAGAGAAAACATTCACAGATGAAGCACTGAAAAATTAATCCACGGTAACATGTTTTTGTCTTATTTGACCTTATCAATGCTGTGTAACCATATGTGTCTAGAAAAAAAAATTATACCAGTTCCACATATCCTACGACATGTCCATGCATTCCAGTTTTTTATCGAAGATAAAACGTTGATATTTTACTTCCGTCGCAAATGAAATAACCTCATAACTGAATAAATTAACAAGAAAATCGATTGTCATGTAGCAACGTGATAACCGTAATATGTGGTTGGGGTATCAAATTACTGTTACGTAATTTCCGTTAATGAGTGGTTTGTCTATCCCGGTACATTTAAATATTATTAAAATCAAACATCATCTAAAAATTATTTGGTTCTGTTCAAATTTGTTTTTCAATCCATGAAAGATGGCGCAGCAATCGACGAATATCAGTTTTTTAGATATTTACTTCTCAGAGGTGTGCTCAAGATTTTGCAAAACATCCACAATTAAAAATATAATTCAAATTATGGATCTTTGTTTCAGTGATCAGAATGTATACTTGATTTACATCACTAAAGTCAAGTCTTCATGTAATAATCCCAATTCATTTCTAATTTTACCTTCAATGGTAATATAGGAACAGATTTGTTTGTGGCCAAATATTTTACATTATACATTCAATAGTCCGTGGACGCTGTTATTCGAATTGATTGGCCAGTGTGGATTTCAATATTCCATTATTGCATGGTTTCTGAAAGACGATTCAGAGAACCATACCTTAGGAAAAGTTTTGACTGTTTTTGTACTCACTTACAAAAAATTATCTCATTTTGACAATTAACGTCATGAAGGATGGTATTGATGAAGTCTTGTAAATCTATAACAATGCTCTGGGACAATCCGGAATTGTCAGCTAGTTCTCCTGTACTGACATGAAGTCTATAGCTTACATCAGTTAATTCATCTGTTACATCATTTTTTATAATGAATGTAGCTTGGCAGATCAGTTGAACACTTCGACGAGATGTAAATTATTTCACAGGTCGGTAAATTAAAGAAAGTGAAAAAATCTTATCTTGAAAACGTTGAACACAAATATTGATAGCATTATCAAAATTCCTGCTAGCTTCTCGTGAACAAGAACCATATAAATTTTTTTCTTGTACTTTTGAATATTTTTTCATTCAATAATATTATGTAATAACAGACGTGTTGTTACTCATAGTTTTTCTTTTGTAAATACAGACATTAAACATTACCAAGGCAATTATTTAGGGGGGATAATTTTAATGCCAGCATCAATGGATAATTCTCAATAAAATAACCTTTCATTCTGGATATTTTCAACAAAGTCTATATTTCGTAATATTTGACTGTTCACAGGTTGAAATAATCATCTGGTATAGTTTCATTTGACGCATACCTCAAATTTTGTGCAATCTCATTTACAGTTCTCAGTAACTCTTGTATGAATCAACGGTAAGTGCAAATCAACATGTAAAATGTCTTCTAAAAATTTTCGTTTTAATCGTGAGTTTTAAAAATTGCCAGATCTTCCATACGAAATATAATGGAAATAGACTCTGATACCAATTCAGGGCCAAAAACGAGAAATCAATAAGTTTTTTTCAAATAGTAACAACGGTATTGGAATTCCTAAAAGTTGGGGATTTTTTTCCGAATACTGCGTATAGACTGGCACGTGCTAGGAATCGCACGTTAAAATGTGAGACCTTGACACAGAATTCTGTGGGTTATCGTTCGTATGGGGACGGTAGATGGTTAGCGGGAAACCAATTTCAACCCCATTTTTTATTCTGTGTTAAACATTTCATATTAGAAATGTTGAAAGGTATAAAGGAAAAAAGAAAAAACATATTTTCCCATGTACAATAACAAGGTAAACGTCAGTTTGAAAAAAACAAATTGCATATTAGGGACTGCTTATATATTTTCATCTAAATTGTTGAAAATTTTCGGTTCGAGATAGAGATGGCTCTTCTGGTCGATGTGGTCAAGGTACTAGCAAATTTCCAGAGCGAGTTGAATAATCATGAATTGCTGAATCTATGAAAAATTTGATCTGTTAATATAAACAAAATTACATAATTCATAAATATGTATCACAACAATAGGTTTTTGAACGAGCTCATACGTTGATGTGCTTCACATATTAACTAAGGGATAGCTAATTCTTCGCAATCGGCAATTCTCACTCGTTAATCCTTGTACAATATGTCTGACTCACCTGTTACGAACATAAGTTAGTAGTTACTCTTGGATTGCATCACCGAAAGAAAAAGAAATAACACGTACTAAACTTTTATTCCTTCCAGTAATCCAAAATCAATCATCGGGGAAAACAGCAGCTGTATCTGCCGTACCCAGGACCAAAGTAAAAGTTTCAGGAGGAACTCAAACTTGTTCGAGCGATCTTCAACAATCTCATAGTGAGTAAGAACTTTAACCGATATACAAAAATATATACCTTTTCCTCGATTTATCGATTGAATATACAAGTTACATTAATTATAAATGATGTTTCGCGGTTAGTGAAAATATTACTTCTGGAATTGTTCGTTTGAATTTATAAAATATTTCTTGCTGTTTTTAATATTTGATTATATTGTGGACTATATAAATGATTTATATGAAATTTCAACTATAGATGAAATGAACGTATTTATTGAATAACAATTGCTTGTACACTACTTTTTTACATTACAATCAAATCGACCATCTTATCTAGGTACTACACAAAAAATGCATTCTCTATCTCCCAGCAGGTACCTCGCAAGGTTGCCGGTTCAAAAACAAAAGTAATATGAATTGTCATTCAACAAAAGTTTTAACACTTGCCGATCATATCACCATGTCCAATTACCACCGATTTCTCTAGTTTCAATGTAATTTCACTTACTGGTATCACTATGAAAATGAGCTTGTATATTCTGGAATTTTTTTAATTGTTAATTTTACTAATCGAATGTGAAACAAATTTCATCAGATAGTTCTATTATTACTCGCAAAAAATACATGCACAAGTTATTTCTAACACCACCTTCAAACAAACGTTATTCCTAACAATATATAATAATCGTCTGATGAACTGAGATTTCGGAGTAAACTGAAATATTGATTTGTTGTTGTCATTATATTGTCCACTTAACTATGCTGGGAAGCATAATGGCATTACATGATTACCTACTCCCATGAGGTTTTGGTATGTCCATTCATTATTTATGGCCTTTATGTTTCGTACACCAATAGAATGTGTTCATTTGTATCTCTAAAACAATAATCAGAGTATATGAGGGGAAATAACAAATCACTTATTACCTAAAACGTAATAATAAAGTAGAAGCAAGTATATGTGGGGTTCGCCGAAAAAAGGTATATAGTGTGTTAAAAAATGAATTTTGACTTAATGATGGTTTCGTAGCCTTGAAAGTATGCTCTTTTGCGAAAACTTCGTCAAACTTGCGAAAAAAAACATTTAAACCTTCATTTGGTAATCGTATGTTCAGAACCATTTGCTGAGAAAAGGTACATAGATACTGAATCAATTCAAAATTACACTACAAATTACAACAGGAAACATTTTTTCCATTAGTTTCACCTACTTTACATTGAAAAGTGGTTTCAGAGTGTCTGAATTCAAAATCAAGATGAATTTTTATGGTGTATGGTATCATAATTTACTAAAAAATGTTAACGAAATTGCTTCAAAAAGTAATGTATTCTTCAAAAAATTTTGATTGAATTTTCCTTGCTGGCAAAAACCCTGAATAACAAAACTTCAAAAAATATATGAATTATTTAAACACAATGAGTTTCCTCGAGAAGAGTTCAGTAGTCCTGGTTGGTGGGATAAGTATTTATATTGGATTAACAATAAAATCATGTAAAATATTTCATCTTATATATAAAAATGGATATTTGTTGGTTGGTTGGTTGGTAAGTGATAAACGTCTACATCGCTCAACTGATCGTGATGAAACTTGACATGTATAAGTTATTTTCCATAGAGAAGGTTTTTAGGCTATCAATTTTTCTGTAACTCGCCACTAGATGGCGCTGTAGAATAATTTTTTGAAAGCACTATTCTATAACGCTGCGCACGCCTAAGTTCGTTGGTTATGATTCTGTCAAAACATTGGAACAGCAGCGATACAGCAACATAGTACTAGTATTGTATAAATTTAGATCACCGCATTTTTCAATATATATATAGTCGACAGTGTGGTAACAATTAGGCGTTTCATGATATCAGTGCAACAAACGAAATCCTTCAGAAGGTTGACACAAGATTAATTAGGAAACAATTAACAGTATAGAAACAATCAGTAGTTTCATGATATCAGTGGAAATTTGTCTTGAAAATATTATACTTACATTTGCTTTTCGCTGACCATGAATAATGAATTGATTACCGAAAACCTCAATGGAATATTCAGTTGATTTATTCAATTGTCCAAACTTTGATCTCAGAATGACTACAATGAAGTAATGTTCGGTTTACTCAAAAAATATATCAGAAACAGTAGGAAAAAATACAATCTTAGTCTTAGTAAAAATACAATCTCAGTAAAACAAAAACATTTCAAAAACCAATGAAAATTAACGTTTCTTGAAACTTGAATATGAAAATAACATCGTTTTTCGCGTCCTCTTATGACACATATTTTTCAATTCACGTGAATTATCAAGGAACAAAGTATTATAAAAATCATACTTTATAAAATATAAAGGGCCGTCAAGATACTCTATTGCCTCTTTTATCGAGAAGCATACTATGTGAAACTCCAAAATATTGTGATAACGGTAATAGAGGCAGTTAAATCAGATTTCGGTGTCCTAAAATGCGTTCATTGTGAACTCCCGGTCCATGCAAAGAAATTGGCAAAAAATGGTCAAGCAATGAGTATAGACATTTTTCAAATGTGTAAAAATGCTAATTTGTGACCTGAAATGAAAATTAATTAGGTAATAAATGGGTTAACAATAAGTAAGAAGTAAAATATATACAAACAATCAAAAAAAATGAAATAAAATATAATAATCAAGATGAATGATGGTAAGTAAGTAAAAAGTTTTGGTTGAATTAAAATTATATAATAACATACAGATATGCGTTCTTAAAATAGCTGATTACTCGCGCAATATGTTAAATTATTGATTAATAACAAAACCTACGAAAGAAATAGTCATGAAAAAGAAAATGCAAAACATTGTTTAATATTGGCGGTGAGAGAGAATACTAAACAAATGATAATATGGTGAAATAATATTGATATTTCGTAATGATATGTGGTTGATTATTCTTCACAAAAGCAATGAAAACATCTTTTCTTTTACCAGTTTTATTTATTCAGAACTAAATTATTATAATTTTCCCAATGGTTCATTAATTATTTTGCTCCAGGTGTCGCATTTGCTAAGGACGGCTCTGCACACATATAATACATACAAATTAGCGTTATTACATTTTCTTTTCATTGCTCATTGCTTATTCACTTTTTTGCTCAATTTTTTCATATTGTTTAATTTTCAACCAAGGCATCCTAACATTGCGAGATATATTTCAAATCTGTGGATGGACACCTATGAAAGTATGAGAAAGCATTACTTCAACATAAATTCACAGTATCTTCAAAAACGATGAGTATAACTGTCTGATCACAGTCTGATTTAGAACAATTGCGTAATCAGTAAAAATGATACATCACTCTGATTATAATTTGTATTACTTTTTACAAAATATGATGCCACTTTAGCGAAAATTTAACACTTCATTATTTTCTAACAAATCTACTTTTTTAGAGGCCAGTCCGCCGCAGTTCAAGAGTTACTCCCTAACAGGCAACACTGCTAACCAGCTTAGTCAGTCAGTTAGGGAGCGGTTGATGATGGGCTCGCAAAGTCTTCCGAAAGGTGCTGGACACCAAGACTATGGTCTTGTTATGAGGCAGGGCCGACCGAAAGCAAGTGATGGTTCATTATCTGATACGCAAGCTATCGATAATACCAGTCCATATGCGCCTTGGCTTCGACACAGGTACGGTATTCTATTTATGAGATAAAGTTATAGTAGATATATCAGTGCTCAGTTTCTTGTTTTTTGAAGAATCACGAAACAATCTTCGAGATTTCAAAAAGGTAATTTTTGTAAGCTCAATGATGAATAGTATTCCATGGTTCGAGAAAGGGAGTATACTATAAAGTTATTTCTGAATAGAATATTTTAGAAATCAGCACCATTTTATTATTTACATTTATGGATTTTTAACTCCCCTGAAATTAAAAAAAAGTTTCTTGGATGATTCAAAGTTGTTGCATATTACTAAATTAGCCCAGAAATAATATGCATTTGAATAAAATTTTATTAAAAAGATATATCCGTGTATAACCCAAATACCTCTTCAAATTATATTCAAACAATATTTAGCAGCCTACTGTTATGACTTCTGTCCATTTAAATCCATATGAATCTAATTGTTATCTATTAGTCCTAAACAATAACTCCCCAATTCAATCAGATGATAAATATGGCAAGACAAAAACATTACAAGTTGACGATCGAAGTCGTTTTTTGAAAAAGTGAAGCGACTGATTATTACCAACATTGAAAGTGTTGATGGTTTCGTTAAGTTCATTGATGATTGACGGAGATTACCATGAAGACTTGAAAGGCGATATGTTTGAAGCATATTCTGATTAAATGTGAATGTGATGAATAATGCAAGGTATCATTCCAGAAAAGTTGTAAGAATACCAACTAATACATGGAGAAAAGCTTCGACATAACATTTTATGAAAATATGATTGAAAAAGAACTTTTGTCCATAGTATGTTCGAATTAAGCTCATTTCACGAAATATGTAGTCGACAAGATGATACAGAACCGAAATATTAACATGTCCGGCATTTATAATATAAGGATTGGATTGCACCCCATCATTCACTTTGCAAATAGATGATATAAACACCATTTGAATTTCAATCTGGCCCTTTTTTTAAAGTATTTCGCTCCGGTTTTTATCATTTGGTGGAGGAATACACCCCTCTTCCGTTTTGTAAATGAATGAACCTATTAGGACATATATTTCAACATACGCTATGCATGATATTTCGTACTGGAACCTCTGGTGTAAAATGAATCTGTGCATTTCAGGACTTTGTAGGGATTTTGTCCGATTTTTATTATTCGATGGTGAATTACACCCTGCAAATCTGTTAAATTAATAAGGTTTATTGAAAGAATGTTTTTGACGTTCCATTTAAATTGCAATGTATTTTTGTTTCATAGACGCCACTAGTAATTTGGTTGCTAGAAAGTGGCCGCCAATTTCACACCAAACAATTTTTAACAGATTTTGTTCAATTCACGCAATAGAACCTAAAACAATGATTTTCAAAATTTTTACATCTACCTTCATACACGCCAATCTCGCTAATAATACCTTCATTTGTAACATTTACCGTTTGATTTATTTCGATCGGTTCATAAATAATATAATAATGTCAATTTTAAGAATCACTCCAAATAAAAAATGCGGTTCACTTGGTGTTAGAAAATCTAAGAAGGCCCAAAAATTAAAGTCCACGTTAACGATGTCGCGGGCAAAACATTATATAAATTCGTCATTTTCAATAAACTAATGAATTTTTATACTCAATTAAAGACAAAACTTCAGTGTAGAATAGAACATTTTTTTCAAAAAAAAAAAAATAGAATATGAGTAATTTCTTGAATGTCAAGACGAATTCCATATTTGCAAACCTTTTTTGGTAGAGCAGCACTAGTTAAACCACGATTATGACGTGTAACATTTGGAAGAGAAAGTTCTGAAACTTTTTAAATGCTTGGATATTATTTGCTTCAAGAATTCAAAAAATTGACTGGATAATCAAGTAGAATTGAATTCACTCCCTCTGCTGAATATATTTTCCAGTGTGGAAATTAGTTTATTACATGTCTATTCAATGAGTTGGTCATTTTTTTATAATATTTCAATTTTATTCAGTTTATTGGTCGGTCGTTAATCCTTAGCTCGCACAAGTCTCGACTTCTGAGAGTTGTCGTTCGTAGGGGTGCGACAGCTGGTTAACGGAAAGACAGATTTTTTAAACAGATTCCTGAACTCTGGTAAAATCATTAGTCAATAAGAAGGTTGTTTCCTTTATAACGCCTAAATTTGAGTTAGTTCATACCTATACTGACACCTAAATGTACTTGTAATGCACTGTTTGGAACCTTTGGTGTAGTAATAAATATGACTAGAGTTTTTCCCAACACCAAACCGTTATTTTAATACCTCGACACATGTTCCGATCATCAAGTGATCATATTTTTTGTGAACTGGTCAGTGAAAATCTTACAATGAACTGTTACTTGAACACGTAATAGATTTTCCTCAAGTATCGCCCAGTTCCATCACATTCAAATTCGTCATTCAAGTTATTATTAATGATCATAATAAATGATTAAGATGATCACTTGATGATTTGGTGTTGTGTCAAGTTAATAATAATATTCAAGTTATTATTATTAACGTCCAATTAGATATAAAACAGTTTCAAATAGGTATAGCTAAAAAAATGTGTTTCAGATATTTCAAATCAAAGATGAAAATGAAAATAAAAAGTAGTTTGAAATGAAGACAATTACATGATTTCAATTGAAATCAATAAAACCACTGAGCTGACAGATAATTCTTAATTTTTTAGCAATACGTATTCAGTTGCACCAAGATTGTCAGAAACGGATAGCATGGAATCATTGTCTAGCCTTCCAGGACACAGAAGTAGTCTGACACATGCACGTCTTTTGAGGGATTCATCTTCAAGACTGAGTAGGAGTAACAGCATAAGGTGAGTATCAATAATAAAAAAACCGTAAAGTTTTATATGATCTTGATGCTAATGTTGTCTTCACATATTTGTACACGATAGTTTTCATTATATTACTAAGACAGATCTAAAGAAATAGCCTGACTACGAAAAAATCTTTTGAATTTTGTGTTACATATTGGTAAATAATAGAAAAATAGCGTCAAGGTCATGTTAATTTTACAATGATGAGACATTTCCCTCTCTTAGATCATTATTTTTAACAACATATTTCTTGCATACAGCTACCTCAGAGAGCGGACTTTTCCAAGGTACCAGAGCGGATAAATAGAAACTGTGCTGTTTACAACATTCTTTTCATATGGCTAAATATTTATAATGTCACATATAAGTAACCAGTTGAAAATCTCTTATATACTATATGCTACCAAATATTTTCATATTTTACATTTTTGTTGAAAGAAGTATAAGAGAATATCTTTGAAAGTGAAAATATTTTTTCTCCCCATTATTCATTAACATGAGAGTCTTATATCACAAGTATACCTACTGATGCTAACGAGTTACTTTCAATTTTATCTTCTCAAAATAGTTTACTACAAGATTGTTAAATTTATGTTTGCTATAAACTGTATTTGTAGCAAGCTTAATGGCAAATTTATTGAGACTTCATTCTCAGAAAACTTTCCTATCCGTTTTATTTTACTAAAACATTTTTGTGTTTTGTTCCTTTCCTTAAAATTTTGTTTCAAGCAGAATTTTGGCTTATCTTGTAAGGATCTGACATTTGTAAATATACCGAAGGTTATTGATCTCAGCATCCCCGTAATAATAATCAGATTTTACTTTTTCCAAGGCTTATTATTCAATTTTCTATTCATATTTTGAAATGTGAAATACAATATTTCTTCTTGAAAGTGTTCAGATACCTCATTTCCAAAAAAACAAAATGAAAATTTTAAGGTTTTTCATTTTTTGGAAAATTATACCTACTTGACGGGTTGTGTCTGACACTCAGTTTCACCTCAAAACAACAACAATTGTATCTAGTTGATATGGATTTTTGGTTTCCTTAAGTTCATTCTTTTAATGAATGAAACTCGGCAACAAAGGAAACATTATTATAATATATGAATAATCATTCATGTATATGTTCCTGCATTTACGGAGAAAGTTCTTGGACCTAACTTTGCCTACATCTCTCAGTAAATTTATAGAAAACATGTATATTTGTATAAAAACTATAAAAAATACTGTTTCACAGAATGTTATTTTTTTCGAGATCTATTTTGGTTGTATAAATATTTAGCTTATGAATTTTCAAATACAGCTTTGCACTCACTGTTGTGTCCGCTTTGTTTGTTACTCACATTATTTTATACTACCAGGAAGATAAATCACTACACGCCATGCTTAGAGTAAAACTACACATCTACACAATGACAACTTTTCCATTTATCGAAAGCTTCTAATGGAAAGCATTCTGTGAACAAAGACAAATATTTTTAATGTAATTTTCACTAGTTTTGGATTGTAGGTTTCTTTTTTCACAGACAAACAAGATTTCAAATGATCAAGAGTAACGTTTATTGCTGTAACTCTTAAGAGAGTTGCCTTAATACTACGATTTTTCATTTGGTTGGTGCTTTATTGAGAAACGAATATCTTATCATAGAAGGCTAGTTAGAATCGAATTTTATGTTAAAAAAAAGCAAAAAATAAGGTTTTTTTTTCAAATTTATTTTAGGATTCATATTTTGATCATTTCCTACATTTCTCCTTCTTTAGTTGCAGGATTTATATCGTATGTTCAAAAATACATTTGTATGTACGGTTAAACAAAGTTATTCTCATTTGCAAATATAACTTGGAAAACTAGTGGTACAGGTAAATGTAGACAAGTTCATCTGAAGCAGTACTGTAACTGAATAACCATTTTCAACTATCCGAAGTCACTGTTGTACTCCTCCGTGCACTCTCATAGTCATATTGAAGTATCAGTAAACTGATACAGTTCGTATATAAGTAATGAAGGGAAAACCAAAGATAAAATTTGCTCAATTTTTCAAATATATGAATTTTTCATCAATTCACATACATTCGTTTCAGTTTTTCTTCTACTTCTAATTTTCTCGAAATTATTAATAGAAAGTAGTATTTTTTTAATTTACCATTAGAGTATACCTCTTGTCCCATAAAATATGCCGAAGTATACCATTCCAGTAAAAGAATAATTTTAAAGCTGTTTATATATCATAGTAAGTTAATGACTGCTCAATTTATTAAACTTCTAAAAATTAAGTATTGGAAAGAACGCTAAAATCAATAGATTTTTACTTTTGGCTTTCTTATACAATAACAAATATGTACAATTGTACATATAATGTAAAAATCTTTCAACACGGTGTGCCCCCGACCAGAATTCAAGAATTGTTATGAATTATCTCAATGAGCGATTCAAGAAAAGTGTTTGGATACAATGATACATCCGATAATCAGCCAGATCACCTGATCTAACACCTCTGGACTTGAGACTTTATTAAAAGGAAAATATTTATGTTAATTCATAAAATAATTAGGATCTTCGCAATTTTGAAACAACATTTTGTTAAACAAGAATTCGATTGCATCAACATTTAGGTTAACGAATTGAACATTTGACTAACTGAATAATCTCTTACTTCATCTTGTCCATTATAGAAACCAAAAGTATTTTTCTTCCTTCGAAAGCGTATGATAATTTTTAAATGATTTTAAACTTATTATAAAATAGTTTTTTTTGTAGCAGAATACGTTGAAGTTTAATAAATATCATTTTCTGTTAGAATTCTAAAGAAAATCAATAAAGTGGCCCCGGAGCGCCAATTAATTTTTATTGTTGTTTTTATTTTATTTTTATCGTTGTTTTAGATTCAATATAATTTTATTTTTTGACCTTGAATTAACCCTACTATAACTTATGTTTCTAGAATATATTGCTAGAAGTTAACCCGTTAAAACTAATGGGAGAAATGTTTCAATTGATGTTGTCAAAATTAATCAAATCTTCTTGGTAGAAAAATTAGTTAAATTATAAGTTGAAACGAACATTGTTGAAATACATTGTTCTACGCAAACAAGCGAATGCGCGTATGCGACGCTCGTCTACTATGTTTCAACATCGTCCGCCAAATTTTCAGGACGTTGATTGAACGGACGTCTGCACCGGGTCTTAATCCTAAATCGCGCGATTTTTTATTTTGAAGTAAAAACATGTTTTCAGATAGAAATCATCGATAAAAATCAAGGAAAAATAGTAAAAAAAATATCTAAAACACATTTATTTATGGAAAAAATTTTTTCATCATACAAAGTGGTTTGTGGTGAAGAAAGTATGAAATTTCATAAAACAATTATTGTTCTTGTTCAAACACAAATTCAAGCCACATTTTTGACATTTGATCAAGATAACGCACTTGCACATTGGTAATTTACACCTCTATTGGTTTTCATCATAAATAGACCAATGACCAGTTAAAATAAGTCTCACATCCTTTGGTGGTACCTATGTAAGCTATGGTAGGGGAACAATGCTTTTTTTCTGTATTTCGCGTTCCAATTCAGATGGTCTTCCTCGTTCTGATGAAACTTCCAGACCTACTCGACATAAAGAAACATGTCTACCCGAAAATCTACCAGTTTCATGTAGTTGGTAGTTTTCCTTTGTTGTTCTACTCTCCTATACAATAACCAGCAAATGGTAAAATAGCCTGATATACCATTTTTTCGAATGGATTTTGATTTTATACCGTCCAATGAGACTATCCATCAAGTCGACACCTCCAGTGTGGCGATTATAGTCGATGAAAACGTTTGAACAGAATCTTTTCAGAGTAGTTTTAGGTATTTCACCAATATAGGAGGAGAATAAGCAAATTGTTTTATTGTCTTTCCAGCAGACATATCAACACCATCATGTGTACAAACTTATTCCATAGAACTACCTCGTTGCCACTTATTCACGTCTTTCTCTGGTGGCAACTTACAATTTGGTATTCTAGTTCTCCCTACTGTACCCAAAGAAAGTATTCATCTGTGAGCTAGACAAGTAACTAGAGACAGAGTCGTATAAAAACTATGTAATTTTGGTTCACTGGGATGATTTTACACAATCTTCAAACTAGGTTACCAGTACTCACATATGTTCTTCAGCGTCTGTCAAAGCTTCACTTTCATTTCACTTTTCCAGTATAAATCTCGAAGTTGTAGGCAAATCCTGACATACCAGCCAGAATGAATAATTTGATTCCATATTTGTTAGGTTTGGGGAGTATATACTGTTTCAAGCTATGTCTGCTCTTACTGGCATACATTTGTTCATCAATAGATAAATGATTATCGAGTGGAGCAGCCTGAAATCGTGCTAGAATAATGGTAATTATTGGTCTCAGTTTATGCAGTTAATCGTGATTAGTATCGTCTCTTGGTAACATATTACTGTTATATCATTGAAATGTAAATACTGTCTTACTTTTTGAAATCTCTTTCCTCCCATCCCTTCCTTTATCGTAGTGAAAGCTAAATTTGAGCTCCAATAGGATCTGATAATTCTTGTGCAGTAATATTAGCTGGCCTATTGGGATTTTTCTGCAGCGAGAAGAGGATTGACTGGTCTACAACGTCAGTAAAAAAGTACTTTAAATAGAAGTATGGGGGTACTGAGAGCCATAATGTCGGGAGGTAATTCATCGTTTCCTCTAAACGTTTTCGCATTTTCCTTCAAGACTAGATTTTTCTTCCTCCAAATTATATTCTTATTTTTTTAGTCGTTTTTCGTTACAGTTTTGTTTTGTGCCGCTTTCCTAGCTGTATCCGCTAAAGTTTCATCTTCCGAATCTTATGCTTCTAGTGTGTGTCTTTCTTCCAATACAGGACCTGTGTAATTATTTCCCATTATCCTCTCTTCTGATAATTCATCATCTTCACCGTATATAATCCCATCTTTCAAAAATTATAGAAATATTTTGAATGTCAATATCTTCTGTATTATTCACATCAGTCTCCTCCAAATCTGATGCATTGTCATCAAACCATCTTCACTATCCCAAATATGATCAGCCTACCACTCAAGTCAGAAGTTTGCGGCTCATTTTTATTTGTATCTATTCTAACGAATTGAAGAATTAACTGTCTTAAACAAATTTATTTTAACAATACTTCACTATCACAACTAATTTATTTACACCACTCAGTAACTAACGCTTAATTTATCTTCACCGGTTTTTAACCGCTCGAATCGATTTCTTGGTACAGACTACTCTTCGGGACGGAGAGCGACGTTTTTATATTGTCAACGAACGTTCCGGATCCCTCTGCGGATTTCGGGACTCATCCGCATCCTTCCCGCTCTTTCGCGGTATTCCGTCATGCGTCATGCGTCGGTCAGGGCCGGCTTCAGATTCATTACACTATATTGTAGTGCGAACCGTTTTGTATCATATCTGAAACATCACAAGAAACATTAGATTTTTATGAAACAATGTCTTCCAGACTTCACCCAATATCAAAAAACTCACCAAAAATAAACTCTCAATATCCGCCACAATATTATTTTATATATCGATCTAAGTGCTGCCTAAACAACACGCCTCAACCGAATGTAGAATAAGACTGAAATGTACACTGTGCAAAAAACAGTTTATGTGAATATTCTTTCCTGATTACGAAAATGACCTTATGTCGTTCATAAAGATGTAGCGGATATGATACGTGGCGTTTCGCAGCTAGAATTCAAAAAACATCATATGAAATATAAATTTGAAAAGGACGTATCAGATTTGATACAATACGCGATCTAGGGTTGAATGGACGTCGAAGAATTTTGATTTAATATTCACTCACTTGATAAATAATTCTGACTTTAAACATTGTGCATTGATTGTACGCCCGGCTGCACTGGGTCTAAAAGAATACATCGTCTGAGAAATGGTTAATAAAAATGTTCTCGCAACTCAAACATTATAAGACTTGTCACTCGTAAGAAGGTACTTGGTATACTCTTAAACTATATAAAGAACTCAAACTTTCTTCTTTGCGAGGCTATTTGACTGCAATGTTGGAAAAAAAATGAAAAATTTATCAAAAAAGTAACAAACTAGACAAATTCAATGTTGACGTGGAACATGTTGGTGTTTTTTCTTTTTATTATACATTTTACCCAGGTTGTAAAATCTACAAAAATTTGAAGCCCTCATTTTAGCTTGCATGTATTTATATTCTTGTGTTTTCGTTAAAGACCGGTTCACATCGATATCTTTAACACAATCGAGACTATTTTTAACATCACTGACACTGAAGGATATGGTTGATTTCTTCTCTTCGACCACCGCACGTCCAATTTTATAAAGTACTGTTTTTATATGATCAACATCGTTTTTAATTGTTGATATTCTGTTCATTATATTAGAACTAAATTTCCCAATTTTACTTGACAATGTGCAGTATTGTTTCTGTAACTGATCAAATTTTTCGGTCGTCTTATCCGTGTTATCAACATCTTCACCTAACCCAATTTTTGTTCGATCAAAACTTTTTTTTTTCTTCGACGGTTGAATTTTTAATTCACCTCCGTCGAGAATCAATTCCAAGCTGTTTCCGTTCGACTCACACTTTGTTTCGTCAAATATGGTTAAAGAATTTTTTCTTTTTCTAGTTAAGCATTCGATGCAAGCGTTCGAGTTGATATTTACGTTAAATTTCAGAATGTCACCACTTTCTACAATGTCACAGAAATCTAGGTTGTGTTCATCATGTTTGATAGATTTGTATTTGGATTCGTTGAAACTTTTTTCAGGCCGGATGGAACATTCCTTTTTTTCTACTGGTATATCTTTTTTTTGAAACAAATTCCTGCATGAAACCAAGTCCAATGTGTTTTCAGAATCAGAATATGTGGCAATTTCTCCATACTTACAAATCTTGCTTTGCTCTTTCTGAATATCGCACTGAATAGAAGAACTTACGAATTTTGATTGAAATTCTGGAGTATTCTGCAAACTAAATTATCAATACAGCATTTGATTTCACTATTGCAAAAATACCTTTGATATGCAACATGAAAAAATTTGTAGAAACCAATTCCGCCGTTTATTTTTGTGATTCATTTTTGGCACATTTTGTCATGATTTTGTCATTTGCTACTGTCACTATCAGTTAGTGCCAAGTTAGTTTTAATAAGGGATGTTTGTTTGAAATTTCTATGGAATATGACACAGTTTCTGGTCCTAGAATATAAATCTAAAATAAAAATGTTCTAATACTTTTTCATAATATTCTGATGAGGCTCTATGTTCTTTGAAGTTTTACTATCTGTTGGCGTTTGATGTCCTCTAATTGTCGACGTTACACGCAGCCGCGATGATTGACCAATGAAAGTTGGAAGGTTTCAGGGTTTTCCTTCGTGATGGTCTTGCTGTTACTGGTGAAACTATCCGATTGAAGTAGGTGTATTATATCCAAGTGGAGTGGGTATATGTGGACATGTACAAGTTGATCTCCATCAATGTATCGATCTGTTTTATTCAGATACCTATTCATCTCTTTTTTAGACTCGTTTGTTGTTCAAGTGATTTTACTTGTCCAGTTTCTCAGTTATTTCCCGTTTTCAACTTTTTTCAATGCAAAGTCGCTCAAAGTTTGGCTTTACACATCTGTTGAGTGGGTCGATCTTCAATAACATTTTCGAAATTTCACCTGGTTACATGTTTGTTTCACCATCGTACTTGAAAAAAGCGCGTATGAACTCGCGCCAGCATTTTGCAGACTTTTCAACTTGTCATACAAAAAGGAAGTTTTTCGTTCTGATTGAAAGATTGATATAACTTTCGAAAACGAAGATCAACAGGCGACGATCTATCGTATGTCACCCATATTTGGAATAACGCGGTCGAGAAACATGGAGAGGCAAGAGGTGTAGCGCTTGTCTCCAACCCTCTTTCTATTGTATATCAACAACTTATTGGAAAAAAAAAAGAATCCAATATATTTCTTTGCTGACGACAGCACACTTGTCTCGTCATTACATTTGGATTTCAGAACATGGGCTATGGATGCACATCTTCACTGGCAGCAGGAGGTGGCATATCTTAATGAGGATCCTAAAGTAATTTCGAATTGGGATAAAAGTAACCAGTTCAATTCAATGCCACAAAAACCCAGGCATCGGTTTTCTCCAAAAAGATAATTGTCTCCGAACCGGATATAATAATGCCAGGACGGACAATTCCGCTTTCTGCTTCGATAAGTTTGTTGGGGCTTAAAATGAACACCAATATGTCTTGGCATAATCATGTGCTGGAATTGCAAAAGCCTCTTCTTAAAAGCTTGGAACACTGTTCCGAACCAGAAAACTGTACACCTTAGCCACTTTTGGAGCTTTATTGAGCTAAGATCAAACCTTCTTTGGGGTATTCTTCTCATGTATGGGGTTCCGCCCCCAAACATACCCTGAAGCTGCTGGATTCCATCCAGAAAAGAACCATCCGCCTGATTGGAGACGCGAACACCACTTGCAACCTTGATAGTCTAGAACATCGAAGAAGGGTTGAAGATTTATCTCTCTCCTATAGATACCATCAAGAACGGTGCATATCAGAAATAAGCAAGGTTCAACTTAGTACACTTCGAACTTCATTGTTAAAGAACTCTTTCATTTGGAGAACTGCGTTTATGTGGAATAAACTTCCTGAGAACGTTTTTCCAAATGGATTTAATCTCCAGCGATTCAATTCCCATGTGAATCACTACTTCCACAGATGCACCGCTTTTAGAGCGTCTTGAAGATTTTTCTGTATTGCTTATGTTTTGTCCTTAAAAAAATGACCAATCCAATCTTTAGACGCCCTCGGCAAAACATTAAATAACCAGGTCGAATATTCTGGAGCGTTTCCAATTTACCTCCATTCTAGCTTTTTATTATTCTCAATTATTCATCGCACAATTTTTTATTTATTGCAGTAAGATTTATTTTCGAATGCATCACTCTTGAAACCCGCCAGGATGAGCATTGTTACAAATATTTTTGAAAAATACTGCCATTAGTTCACTGTATCCGAACTAGTAGTAGACAAAATGAAAATATTGAAATGATGTGTTTTCTATTTGAGTATTTAAATAAGTATTTTTCAAATTCGGCTAGTTTTCCGATAGGATATTTGGAAAACCATATTTGCAATAAAGCACCGCCACTAATAAAATTTCATTCATTGTGAACTTTTGCGCTTCTGTTTCAGATCAACCAAATCAGAGAAATTGTATCCCTCCATGTTACATAGAAATAATGAACCTGAAGCAGAACCTTACTATTGCCTTCCTATAGGGAGTCTGAGTCACTGGTCCCAGCCTACGAGTCCCGCACCAGGAACCGCCCGAACGTTTCCACTTTCTCCAACCCATTCAAGTACCCCTAGGCATAGCATACCTAAAAATGATGATAGTAAGTTTTTGTTGGTTTGTTATAGAGATAAAGTCCAGTATTGATAGTTCGGAGTAGTAAAAAAACGAAACTGTTGAACTTAGGAATTGAATGTTTCACTGAATAATTACATTCAAAATGCTTTCGTTTTGTGAGTAGCAAAAAACTTCGACTCAATATCTTTCTGAATATTGTCGAAAGCATAATAAAGTTATGGTCAGGGAATCTTTACAGAAAATATTTTTATTGATAGCAAATCGTTTCTTTTTGTTAGAAAAGAAAAGTTTTGGCTTTCTACTTCTCCATCTTGATACAAACAATGTGGGAATCTTCCAAAGAAAGAAAGGAAGGAATCAATTTCAAAAATTAAGTTTATACAAAGATGTGTAAGTCATGCATGTAAATTTCAGGCTCAAACTGGAAGAAAAAACCCTCTCGAAACAGCTATTTTCATATAAACATTGAATTACACGAAAGAAAAATACTTTCGAAACAAAAACTTTTATATGAACGCTGAACTATACGAAAAACATTCTTTCTATTCCGTTTGTATTCCAAACATTTAGTAATGGAATTGAATCAGGATTCCTAAACAATATAATTGATGAAAGAAGCGAATTTCACTTACATGGAACACTGTCATCCTCACTGGTAGACATCTTGATGTTTCACCGTAAGACACTTGCCTTGTTGGCTCTTCAATACAGAATACGGATAACATTATAAAAAATATATGTCATCAAAAGTCGCAACGACAAAGGTATTTCTTCAATTTCGAGAAGATACTTTTGAAAGATAATCGTAGAACTGTTACGAACAATAACATATAATATGTTGATATCTTTAGATAGATAATTTCATATAGAATGTGAAATCAAACTGATACAGGAGTTTCAAACATGCTACTTCGATGTTCTATGTGATACTTCACGAGACGAAACTCTGATCTCTGAAAAAAATTCTCGGTATTTTTATTCAAAAATCAATAACTTGGCGTAAAACCATCAAACTGATAGTAAAATAAAATGGTTGTTCCATTTGAAAAATATGTTTGCTATGCAACAATCTGTGCAACTGACCTATTTTCTTTCATATCAGCAGTGTCGATATATTGAGTGAATATGCGTATACATATATAGTTGCAAACTGACCTACTATATCAGATCCAATTATAATTTATTTTCAATTTTTCAGTACATGGATCTTCCATAAGCTTGGTTTCAACGGCGTCTAGTCTTTATTCTTCTGCAGAAGAAAAACAGGCACATGAAATCCGAAAACTCAGGAGGGAATTAAACGAAGCTCAAGAAAAAGTTCATACTCTTACATCGCAACTCAGCACAAACGTGAGTAATTTCAGTATGTAATAATGTCGTCTAACAGAAACACAAATATTTCAAAATATGGTTTGTTCAAACTGAATAACTCGATGAACTGTAACATTCACCATTTGAACTTTTTGTTTTCGAATAACCTATTCATTTATTTCATCTAATTGTTCGCTCCAACTTAGGATGAGGAATAAAATACTCTGAAAGAATTCCGATTTTCAATAATTGGAATATCATTGACTTTTAGTCGATGATGGCCACTATCTTGCACTAACGAGTGGCTAATGAGTCCAAAACCGGTCTGAAAGTATGCCCGTTCCAACATCGAAGGTCGACTCTTTCATTTGCCATTTACATATGCAGAAAATGTTCTGTTAAGATTCCTGCACTGACGCTTGACGGATATAATCCAACGCCCTTCGTGGTATTAGCCAGTGGCGTCAGTCCATTCAACCTACTGTGTAGGTATATCCGAGACTGGGTTTGAAGTTCATTTCTTCAGATTTGTTTACTGCCAATCTTCAAGCATAGATCACTGACTAATAATAAGTAAAAAAGAAGTCCTAGATCCCAAAAATGGATTTTGTTACAATAGTATCCGAAAATAGAAAAATTTACTACAATTCAAGCTATAATCTCTATCTCTTGCCGCTTACGAGATCCCATGCATAAGTAAAGTCGAATTTGAATATTGCCCAATCCTTGAAGGTACAAAACGGCGATATTTTTCTAAACAACACCGATCTGCACCAAAATTTGGATTTAGGTTCTACTCACTCTCTACTCCAAAGTTGACCCTGTACCGGAAGTTGCTTTTATTTTTTCACTCCCTTCCTCGGGGAGAAAAATGTATTATTTAAAATAAATCCCGGAATATTAGCGATATATTAGCGAGTGGGTGTACATTTTTCAACCAATAGTCCTTAATTTTCAGACGGATTTTCACAAATATCTGAAAAAGTACGTATTCTACCGAAAAAATCATTTTGTGTAAAAATGTGAATTTTGAACAAACAAATTGAATGGTGGGTTTATGTTATCTGTAAACCCAATGCAAATGCAGTAAAAGCTTGTTGAATGTTGGTTCTTATCCACCCACTTACTTAGTTAATATGTCCTTTATATCCGGAGTGAAAATGAAAATTGGTAAAGTTGTACCTGTTCATAAAAAATCTGACGCTCATCTTTTAGAAAATTATAGGCCTATCACTGTGCCCTCTGGTTTCTCAAAAATTTTCGAGTATGCATTTTTAGCAAGAGTCATGGATTTTGTTGAAACTTATAAAATTATTTCTTCTACTCAACACGGCTTCCGATCTAGAAAATACACCATAACTGCCATCACAGCATTCTATGCAAAAATTTTGAAACCATCGAAAACGGCAAATGCCCTATTGGGATATCTCATTGGGGCATTTGACTGGATTGAGTCTTTTACCAAAAACAGATGACAGTTTGTCTCAGTTACTCAAACTTTTAAAATTGGGGTTCCTCAAGGGTCTGTTTTGGAATCATTATCATTTATATTGAATTGTAATGATATGAAATCCGCAGTCGCTGATAAAACATGCATTATGTATGCGGATGATACTTCATTATTGGTATCTAATGAATGTGATATTTACTTGGAGGGTGAGTGTAATCGGACACTAAATAATTCAGTCTCATGGTGTAATTACAATTATCTGTATTTCAATTCAGGAAAAAACTTTTCAATTCGTTTTTAGCATCGACAAAAACTTGTTCTAACATTAAAATAAATGCCAACAACAGCGTACTCTCTAATGTCAGTGAATGTAAATTTTTAGCGCTTACATTAGACCACTGTCAGAACTGAAAAGGACATTGTAGTCAACTCACCTCAAAATTATCATCTATTATATATTTGATGAGAAATCTCAAAATGATTTTAATCAGTGAACAAATATTGAGTTATTTCCATACCCATGTAGAATCACGAATTAGATACGGCATTTAAATAAAATGAGTTCTACTCGACAATCTATGATCTTATTGACAAACATGTCCCCGTAACAAGAACAAAAACTGGGTTTACCATATATTTCAGACGTGAAACTATTCAAATCATTGAAAAAAAACCGAGTACACAAAAAATTTAAAATATACAAAAACCAAATCGACTATCTGGAATTCAAAAACCTGCGAGCGCGTTCTAAGGAAGTCATTCGACCTGATTTTCTAGTAGTTATCACAGTAGATTTTCAGCTATAATATCCCAAGGACATTGATAACTAACGAAATAATTTTATCACAGTTTTCGAAAGCACGTTATTTGGTAACATCCCGACGCCGAAGGCGGAGGGATGTTACCTAAAATAACGTGCTTGAGGAAGTTGTGATAAAANTATTATTCAATTGTTTATTTTTTCAATCACACTATTTATGTGTTCATTGTATAATGGCAAGTCCGTAAATAAATTAATAAAATAAAAAATAATACCACGCTAGATATTGAATTATATCCGACAGACATTTATGCAAGATTCCACACCGAGACTAGTCTCGTAGATGTTTCTCGTTCATCCAGCAGTAGGACCATGCTGAAATTATTCAAGTAGATCACCTGCAGACCGCGGTTTCAAGGTATTTCCTTTCGTCAGATCACAAAAGATCCTACCCAGATAGCAAAGTGTCTGGGACTCGATAAATTTCACCACGGCTCGGCTACATGTATGAAATCTTCGTCTGAGAGGAAGATTGTTAACTAGTAACAACTCCATCTCGTGAACAAAGCCCCAAGCGGGGAAGAAACATCCCATATATCAAAACTTTAACAGAAATCAAAAGTGGAAACTATCGAGGAGAGGTACATACGTATAAGGAAATAAATATTTCGAAGTATTAATCTCTACAAACTACCTACACGGTAGGGTGGGTCATTTTAGTTATCAGTGATTTAGTAGTATGATGCCAATCATTTCAAGATCGAAAACTACTATTTTGTGAAATAGTTGAAAAATTCGTAACGCTGTATTATAAAATCAACCATGTAAGGGATGGTTGGTATCTGATTTTATTTTAGTGAAACCGAAAGTCTGAATAAAACCAAATAAAGTGTTATTGATCGTCGGATTTGCGTGAAAATTTTACCCACTACACGAAGTATCAATTCACTATGATAGGAAATTAGCATTCTAATGAAAACCAAATTCAGAAACAAATAACAAAATAAATAATGAATTTTTCATTCTAGACGCGTTTCGCCAATAATTCAATGATTGTAATCGGTAGTGCTGGTAATTAATACCAATGAAGCTACGGTGTTAGTGATACGCGTCTAGAATAAAAATTTTATTTGGGAAAATTGCTTGATTATTATTATGGATAGTGTTATCAATTTCATCAACAGGTCAGTGTATTCATGAAAAATAAATTGATTTCAACAAGAAATCGACTTGCTCATTCTGTTCAATTATCATCATTAAATCGATATAAAAACAAGCAATAATGGACAACCAGTTATTTTATTTTTTTAACACTAATTACTGCATGTTTCAACTAACGAATGTCTGCAGGCCGCGACACCGATGATTATTTTATAATAGTAGATTCAGAAGCCCAAGAGTTACTGCATATCCGGAAATCTAATGATAATTACAATACAGGTTGGGTATTCTCATGATTTGGACCCTTACAGTGAAAAAAAAAGTTTTAATTCAAAGGCAAACATGAAACCATCAGTGTTGACATATGTCTGGATTATCAGAGATAATCATCTACCATACAGATGATATGAAAATGATCTTTGCTTGTCCCCGCTACATTTCCAATTCTCAAACTCAGCAATTCCTCTTATTCTTTCTATATTCACATAATTTTCAAAGGGGTTGAAGCATGGCAAGTGATTTGTGCCTTTTAAAATTCAGATATCAACACCACTTTATTTGGGGCCGCTTTTACTGGACTTTACAAGTTGTTGGAGTTGTTTCTGGATGGTACGAATTTTGATCTGATGATATATGCTATTTTTATTTCAATTCTATGAATGTAAAAAAATCTATTTTTTTTTTAATTTTGGTAATGTTTGTATTTTTTTTTTCGTTAGTAAGCTAACTTTATGGCAAACTTCGTTGTCAGTGTTTTGTTTCCAGTTAACGATTCTAGAGATGATGTCTCTAAGTATGACATAACTGGATTCGGATTTTAG